ACCTGAGGTTAAAATCTTGGCCTAATAAAACACATAGCAAAACTCCCATTCACTTCAGTCCATCCAGGGTTTCATCCCAGGAATTGGTGCCCTTAGTTTAGCTGTGAAAATGCTGGTGAAACCGTGTGCAGTATAAAGTAAATACAGGACATCTATGGGAATCCTTGCTTACTAGCTCATCCTCAAATAGCAAACTATTTACACCGCTTGCAATGCTAACTAAAGCCGATGGCATTTTTAAGCTGGCTGTTTAAAGTAGAATGCGGTCTACTGGTGTCTTGCAAGAATAAGTAAATTCCTCCACTGCCGTGGTGTAAAGGTACTTTTCCATTCTAGGGGGGCCCGACAACCAGGTGCACTTCGAGGGTTACCAGGTCTCCAATCAGTGCATGGCGCTGGTGCGGGACGAGTGCCTGTTGCCGTGCCGGGACGCCCCGGAGCTCGGCTACGCGAAGGAGTCCAGCAGCGAGCAGTATGTGCCTGACGTATTCTACAAGGTAAGGGCGAAGACTAAACGTAGCAGCCAGTGTGTGTGAGAGCGCAGCGAGGGCTAGTTCTGGAAGCTGCAGTATCCAGCTGAGCGAAAGGCTGTCTTTGAGGTGTTGAACTGTTTTGGGTAGGCGCCATTCACCGCATGTCCCCAGGAAGTAAGTGTGCAAGCGCTATTTCCTCCTCATAAAAGTGCTCTTCTGGTTTCCAGCGCAGGAGTAGCCGTTGGCTATCTGGCCTGTAAATAAGGGCAGCAGTGATCCACCTGGGGCCGGTAGCAGGCACTCTGAGTTAACCACATCGCCTATGTTTATGGGCTGTGGCTGGCACGCTTCTCGGTGGCCCTTTAATCCCCCGCCAAGCGGATTTGCTTCCTCCCCTCAGTTATATTTAGACCCGGTGTGCGCTGGAGCACGATGCGCCAAGTTAACGCAGCAGTAAAAGCTGGTTCCTAACAAGGTGGTGAGAATGTATTGTGTGCAAAGCTTTTCTGAGACACCCACAGAGCAGCACCAGGCCCTCTGCAATAACACACTGAGCAGGAAAATATAGGTCAGTCTGTCCAAACAGAGCACCAACCAGAACCAAAGGAGGAGAGACACACACACACACCCAGCCAAAGGGGAACAGTCGCCTGCGAGTGCAAAAGCAGGGAAAAGTATTTAATTTAAAAAAAAAAAAAGGCAGGAGCAGGAAAGCGGCCACACAGGGTCAGAGCAAGGTCCATGTAACACAGTATCTGACACTACCCCGCCTGCGACTGGCCACTGGAGTAAGCCACCGCTGTCTGCTCCACTCAGCTTCTGGCCGTCGGAGGTTTAGGCTCACCCTGCGCGTGGGCTTGCATCCCTAATAGCCGCTGCTAAACCGGTCCTCCGCGAACTTATCTAGGTCTTTTCTGAACCCCCGTTTGCCGTCACCACATCCCCTGGGAATGAGTTCCCCAGCGCTGGCTTTTCGCTCTCTGGCGCTAGCGTCAGCGCCTGCGGTAAGAGCCTTCCTCGTGAGTCTCGGAGGCCCCTCCTGACGCACCGTGGAGGCGAGCCACGTTCAGAGCCAGAATCTCCAAGAGAACCGTACTGCAGGGGGCATGCCAAAGCCCTGTCGGTAACAGGACTGCTGTAGGTGTGGGGTATGTAGTTTTCACGTGCAGTTTGTTCCAGAGGAGTATTGCCTCGAGTTGTTTGTTCCTGGAGTTTTTCAGACCGCTTGCATTTCCAGAATTGGGTTGGAAAGGTCAGACTAGGATCTCGGAGAGATCAATGGCGCCTGCGGCTCAGAAGTCCTGCTTGCCGTATTTTGGTGCTTCGTGAGCAAGCGCGGAGAAAATTCAGTTCATGGAGAGGCTCACCGACGCATTAGCCATCCGTCCCCCAAGCCAGCGACGTCATCCTTGTTTGTAGCTGAGGTCTGGGATCAGATCTGCTTGTGACAGTTCCTCCTGGCGTGTGGAAGACCGGTCGTTAAGTAGTGCAGCCCAGGCCTGGCTGCCTTGTTTGGAGCTGTTAGAACGAGCGCAGCGTACACCACTGAGAGCCAATCTTGCCAGAATACTTGGTTGGGCCCCAGAGTGGGGCTGAGTGAAGAGGAGGAAACTGCTGATTGGTGAGCTGCTCGGCACCTTTTTTTCCTGCCTTGATGCCACCTGAAATTGGGGGACACACCTTCCAGGCATCTCTCTCCGTCGCTCTAGTAGTCTCTCCCTGTTTGTGTGCTTCTCAAGTGTGTTCTCACCAAAGGGGCTGGTGTGACGTCCCCAACACAGCTGAAGGTCTTGTTGGCATCTGATCCAGAGGCCAGGAGCGGGGGCGGTTGTGCTTGTTTGGAGTGGGAAGGTTCAGCTCCATCTCGGAAAGTAACGACTTTCTGCGCAGGTCAAGGATCATCGCATTGTGCTCCAGCCCGTCACCATTGCAGAATGCTGCGTGCCGTGTGTTTGTGAGACGTTCTCAGGGTAGCAAGAAGCCAGGGGGGCAAGTTCTAAACTCTAGTTTTAACCCAAAGCAATCATAGAACACTAGAACTGGGAGGGACCTCGAGAGGTCGTCCAGTCCAGTCCCCTGCCCTTATAGCAGGACCAGTCATGGTCTATAACATCCCTGACAGGTGTCTGTCCAACCTGCTCCTCAATATCTCCAGTGATAGAGATCCCACAACCTCCCTAGGCAATTTATTCCAGTGCTTAACCACCCTAACAGTGAGGAAGTTTTTCCTAATGTCCAACCTAAACCTCCCTTGCTGCAATTTAAGCCCATTGCTTCTGTCCTATCCTCATAGGTTAAGGAAAATACTTTTTTCTTCCTCCTCTTTTTAACAACCTTTTGGGTACTTGAAAGCTGTAATCATCTCGGTCATCTCTTTTCCAAACTAAACAAACCCATTTCTTTCAGTGCAAGTAAACAACAGATTACACCAGCGTTCTGTGGAAATTTCCATGCACCAGTGATTCACGGAGTCAATCTTTAGGTTATTCCAAATGTTTTCTAACTCTTACCCAGAATTGTCGTTTCATGATGTGCGATAGGAAGGCTTGAGGAGTGCTCTGGTGGGCGTAGTTGTCCTTTGAATTCAAACGTGTTGGCTTCAGGGCCTTGACTTTTTCTGGAACGTTTTAAAACTGCTGGTGAGCTTAGTCACTTTGGTTTTAAGGACCATTTGGGTCTCATTAAATGTAAGAAGGCCTGAGGTGAGGGGCACGACCTCATCATCATGGGGTGTGTGACAGCACGCCCGGCGGAGCATTTTGTTGGGCGCAAGAGTCCGGAGCAGGTTTAGCCTTGCAAGGAGACAACACAGATGGTTAGTAAAGTAACCCCTAGCCGCTCCCATTGGCAGAATAGCAGAGCATTACTGTAGGCACCAGGCAATATCTAGCTTGACAATTAGTCTCCTTCCTGTTCTCTTTTTGCCTCCCTCCCGAAGTTGTCGTGCAGGGTTGCTGTGTGTTCAAGCAGCGGCCACATTTCACCTCACGTGGCTGTGCCTCTGGTGAGCAAGAATAAGCTATCCAAGTAGTGTGGGTATCAGCGTAACCAGCATTCTGGGAGGAAATGGCCATGTTAATTCTACGTTGATTGTGATGGTTGAATGAGGACCAAGAAGCCAATGTTTGGGCAGCGTGGAATGTATTTATAGAGCGATTTGACATCCAAGTGGGGGAGGGCCGCGTTTAAACGTCTCTCCACTCTTTGCATAAAGCAGTAGATGCATTTAAACTCCTGCCAATAGGAAAAGATGATCTGTGTGAAACTGGAGAAATGTAAAGCAGCAAGGGTACTATAATCTGTTCATCACATAAGGAAAAGATCTTGTATCTTTACCCTTAGTCGGTGTCGTCTTTGCTCTTGAAACGACTGAGAAATTTCTCTGAATTAGTAATGCTGCAGAAATAGAAGTCTGTGTCAGGGATCAAAGCCACGCAGCTGGGAGAAATTAGGGAGAGTGTTACAGGTTCAAGGACTCTGGCAAGCAGGCAAAGAGGGGCTTCAAGGCAAAATAACAGTTCTCTTCACTCATCAAGCCTTTCTTGTATGGCGCACATCAAGATGCATTTGTGGAACGGGGTCAGAGGCTAGTTTGCCCTTCAGTGTGTTACAGCTGTGGCTGAAAATAAGGTTCCCACGTGAATGAAAGTGACTCATCTCAATGGTCTGTCAGCTGTAGACAAGTCTTCAGTATCATGAAAACAGGAAAACTGATGGCACCAGATTTGCCCAGTTTCCTAAACCAAAGCATTTTTCCGTGGCGTCTTGCATTGCGATTCCTCTGTGTCTGTACTTTTCTCTTGATGTTGGCTTCTTGCCCTACTACTCACAGAAACCATCCCATTAGCACTGGCAGCACAGTGCTTTTGCCGTGCAGGAGCTCAGTCTGCCAGGTGGCATCCCAATGCAAAGGGCAATTGCAAGTAACAGAAAGATAAAAAGGTGTCACCAGGAGATATTTGAGACTTGAAAGTGAAAAGGGAATGATATAAAAAAATATGCCAAGGAGTGGGATTGGTGAGGACTGTCAGCTGTTGCCGTGCAGAATTCTCTTCTATTATGATTAGGGCCCCGTCAAATTCACAGGCTGTTCTGGTCAATTTCCCAGGCAGAGGGTTTTACAAATCGTAAATGTCATGATTTCAGCATTTAAAAGTGAAATGGCACACTGTCGTAACTGACCCCAGCAGGAGTTGTGGAGGGAAGGTCACAAGGTGGAGGTTGGGGGTGGGAGGCGCAGTACTGCTGCCATTCTGTATTGCTGCTGGCAACAGCGCTGCCTTCAGAGCTGGGCAGTTGGAGAGCAGCAGCTGCTGGCCGGGAGCCCAGCTCTGAAGTCAGAGCCACCACCCCATTCCTTCTAGGCTGCTGCTTGCAGAACTAAGGGTACAGAACGAGG